CCGCCTGTCACCTAAGCAAGGAATGCTGCCTGTCAGGGGGTGCATGTGCACCCCCTACACATTGCCACTGGACCAGGATCATGTCAGCTTACTGCTGCTGGAGGTATTTGCTAAAGACTAGGGCCCAAATTCAGATAGTGGCAAAGGGATGATTATTATTCAGTTAGATATTGCTTCCCTTTTGACAACAGGCAAAATGATTTAAGGAGAAAGCTAGAGAGAATGCTCTTCTTTTCTAGCAGCCAGAGACATTTGGGAGCTTCAAAATTTTTTGCATTATTATATATATTATGATAGCACTCAAAAGCCCCTAACCAGAGATTAAGATAGAACCACTAAAAGAAAGATCTAGAGGGCAACATCTTATATAGGAACCTCAGCACCCTTCCTTTTCCAAGGAGCAGGTGAGCAAGCAGGCTTGTATTATACCCAGGCATTGCAGGATTGCTGAGTGGACTGGCAAGTGGACTTCAAGCCTGCACACCTGGGTAGATTCCAGTTCTGAACATACCACAGAATTGGGATGGACTAGCAAGTGAACATGGTCCAAAAAAATTCCTGAACCTAAAAGAGCAGCATAGCTTCCAGGGTCAGACTGGACTGCTACTGAGTGTTAAGTTTAGGGTTTGTCCTGTAGTTAGTCCATGAATTTGTGCTTTACGGCATTCTTAAGAGGGACCTTAACTATCAGCGTGGACATGGCCAATGTTTCCAAACAGTGCCACTGGATACAAGAGATTAGCAATGTTCCCAGTAGGAGGCTTACTTAAGAATATTCCACTTGACATCTGCCACAGGAGACATCAAAAAAAATTCAGTGAACCAAAAAAAAAAAATCACTTAATATCACTGCACTGACCGTGTAGTTTTTGTATTTAATAGAAATTAAATTAGTTGTTTAATATACACAGTGTAATGTTTACTTTCCAGTCTAGTAGCTTTTCAATACTTGCTTTCAAGTCACATGACAAATACTGTACAAAAATTATAAATTGAGAACTGAGGAGTGAACACAGTCACTAAAATGTTAGAGCCAGCAAGGCCCAGGCTTATCTGGAGGTTCGCATACTAAAGGATACATAATCACACAGACTTGTCACAGTATAATCATGCATTTCCAAGGAATGATCTAAAGCCAGCTAGCTATGAACGCTGGTTCCTAGTGGAGCAGGAGGGAGAACACTCCGGAGTATGCAGCAAGTTGCTTTATCGAGCTCCATAGCCATAGTAGTAAGGTTCATCTGGGCGATATCCATAGGCAGTCACAGGGCGGCTAGGAATACCAGTTGGCTGACCAAATCCATCCACTCCAATGCTATGAAAAGAAAGAAGAAACAAACTGATGATCTGGCTTGTCTCACAAATATAGGAGACTGGCTCTAGGATCTGCTCTTAGGTTGGAAGTCTTCACCTTTCTCCACAGGGTAGACCACATTTTAAGAGAGTATCTTGTGAGGTACCTCTCTCCTGTTCTAGCTTGTTCAGATATCTCCTTCTATTTGTGATCATGTAATCTCTCTATAGAAACTAATATGACCCCTTAGGTAGAAATAGAAATAAGACTTTTTAACGGACTTGTTGGCTCACTTTAATTAAATGTGGCAAGCTGGGAACTGGACAGCCTGTAGTATGTAACTAGCCAAATTTGTGGGCCACACTTTCTGATGCAGTGTGGAAGACAAGGGTGATAGGACTCTTGGAACCTGTTCTCTGCTCTACTGCGAATGTTGTGGTGAGGCATAGCTTCTTCGTGATACATTTTTTATTGGGGCAACTATATAACTGAGAGAGTTGTCAGATAAACTTTTGGGTGCAGAGTGCCCTTCACTTGTGTGACTCCATGTGTCTATCTATAAAACAGGGGTAAATAGAGGCTTGTCTCACTGGGTATTTTAAATAAATTTGCTAGAAAATGGCTGTTGATGCAAAGCTGACCGTTAGCACAACCAAACAGCCAAGTTTCTTTCTGAATGATGGAGAGAGCATCCCAAAGTCACTGGGAAAATGCCAGCTGGAAATCTGAAACGGCTCGTTTTTGGCCTTGTAAGCAGAGTACGCAATGCGGTTTCAGAGGGGATGTTAGACAGACAGCCAAAGGATGGAGAGAATTTATCATGTACTAAACACCTCTGTCTTAGCAAGACAGATGATAATTTGGTCTTCATACACGGTATCACTTTTCATACTCTAATGTCCCAAAGCAATGAATCAGATACTGGTGGCGCAAGCATTCTGCAGGCAGAAGTAGCAGATATCCCACGCTCACCAATAGCTTTCACGGAGGAGGCAGAGACAGAAAAGTAAATGTTTCCCAGGATACTGAATTAATGATTAGGTTATCTTTAAAACTTCCACCTAAACAGACCGAGATAGGCAGAAATATCTCTAAATTTATTGTCTGACTAGTGACAGGTCAAAAGGAACGGGGTTTCTCATCCAAAGTAATTAAAAAGTTAGAATGGGGAAAAGCTGAAGTTTATTACTGCTGCTAGTATGCTGAACACGCTAAACAAAGTTAACTTAAGCTGCAACAGCATAAACATGTAAAAGAATAATACAACCAAGAACACACACAATGGTAATATTCTAGGTCCTGATTTGATGAAGCACTTAGTGTCACATGCTTAAGTGCTTGGGCTAAATGGGTGTTGACCAGAAGTGGGAAGGACCTTGTTCCAGCACTTTATCATCATCACCAAGACGCTGCTTCTAGAAATATGCAAGTGTCCAGGGTATAGAAAAGAGCGATTGGTGATTATCTAATCAGAAAATCTGTCTGCCTAAGGGAAGCCCCAGCAGTTCAGAAAGTGAGAGACTTTTGAGGGCTGGTTCAGAAAAAGCTTCTCCCATCCTACAAAGGAATAGTGTGTGGCTGGTAAGCAAAACTGCAAAGAAGGTAATTCCCTATGAGACAAACAACTGGAAAAGAATGGCTTGTAATCTTTTGAGTTGGCTTCTCTTTCCAGTTCCCTCCTCAGCAGCTGCAGTCAACTAGCAGGCTATTAGGCAATAAGGGGTAGAACTTTTTCAACAACAGGTTTAAGGCCCAAAAGGGCTTTTCCAAAAAGAGATCAGGAAGGGTCCTATCTTCACGGTCTGAGATGTACCTCTTCTCTTCCACCCCTCAAAGAACCAGACCCTGCACTGGGAATGAACCTATGATTACACCAGAAGGTCAGAGAACAAACTTCTCTTCCTGGCTTACTATCTGGATTCCAACCAATCCCCAACACCACCTAGTTTTTACTGTGACTGGCATTAGAGAAACACAGAGAGCCTGGACAAATAGGCCTTGGATGAGCTGTTATGAGATATTATTTTCTGCATGCAGGCCACAGAGCTTTTGCAAAGAATTAAACTTAAACCACGGGTGAAATGGACCACCCTGTTTTCAAGTAAAGAAAAAAACAAACAATAAATGATGAAAAGTGAAGTATACTGATCAGAAGAAATTATCTCAGGAGTTACTAATATCCTGCGTTTTGAACATCAGGAACCATATTCTTCATTTTGTTTTGCTAACCTAAGTGCATGGATGTCCATGGCAGTGTAGAAGCACAAAGCTGGAGTAATGGCAGCAGTCCAGGGGTTCTGCATCTAGTTTTGACCACAGAGTCAGTTTATAAACAAGTATTGTTTTCAGAAAATGTGATTCTAGATCTCATTCATTTTGCAGTGACTTATCTGAATTTGCAGTGACATCACTGTTGGACAGTTTTTTATTATTCGTATTGTGGTAGCACTCAGGAACTCGTCTTGTTTGTTACTCACTCATACCACAAAGAGCCATATATTTTGGCCACCTGAATGCTTCACTGGCATATAGACATACACCCAGACCTCATACCTGTGACTTAAAACAGAGCCAACTGTTGCCATCTTTCATGTTGATGTAGAAGAACGGGGAATGAAAGACACAGGTCACATGTGGCTGCTTGGTTCAAGATAAAGCATTTCCTCCTGAAGACTCTAGCTGGAGAACCACCCTATTAATTATGAAGGTGGCTGCACCTCATGTGACATCATTTTAGGGGCCGTCTCTGGGTTGAGGTCCACATTTCAGTCATCCCTGTATGTGGTACTAAAAAATAAGGCAGGGCACAGTGGCACATCTGAGACTGATTTGTTCAGAGGCATGCTGCTCTGAATTGTTAATTTCTAAGGTGCTCTCCTGCCCTTTTTTCTGCCTGACTTTGGACTAACACAGCTAGCTACCTCTCTACAAAAAATAGTGAAATACTGTTCTGGTCAGAAGTACTGTAATCTCTCACTGTACCATGAGGTGGCACTATTTCCCCATCACTGCGGCCAAACATTTCCAGCTATTCCAATTGAGTAATCCTTATTCAAACAATTTGCATGTATTTAAGCTGATAACGGGAATGGGGGAAAACATGGTTTCAATTACATTCTCAACAAATCATTTTTTAAAATTTGTATAGATGTGTAAGTAATTGGGTGCAGATTCCTAGAGTCTAAATTTAGAGGAGTATTAGTTGTTTACAAATAGTTAAGACATACTTTAGTGTCCTGAAAAAAACCTGTAAGAGATGGATCATCTGATTACTTCAGACACTGAATTAAAAAAGGGGAACATAAAATTGTATTTGAACACCTTGATTAGATCACCATTCTCCAGAAAATGGCGCACTATGTAAATATTTTCATAGGTAAATGAGTAGCTGTCTGTGCTTGGAAAAAGATTAGCTTTGCTTTCACATGAAGGTACTGCTCTTGAAAAGTACTACCCTCACTATTTGACCAGGACTGATGGGCTAGAAGCAAAGGTCCACCCCCTTCAGTCCTGGGGACAAAACATGAATTGACCAGGATGGTGGTGGAGAGACATCATTGCAGACTGAAGTCTGGCTGGGTGCAGGCAGACCAAAACTATGACAGTGCATGTGTACCTCAGGTCTGCATCATGCCTCCACCCAGACCTGAAAAAGTCACTTTGAATATGAAGAAATGAGCTCAGGATCTACTTTTCATTGCGCCTGTGGCACCTCAGCTAAGGATGGCAATAAAGGAGTCAATTGTGATGGAGTTTAGAAAGTGAACACCTGCCTGCTAGTGACCAGACTGAGATCATAACTTGCCCCCTCGTGTTCTTACTTCAACATTAGCTATTAAATCCAAAGCTTACTCTTAGCTAATGCTTGTTATAGAAACATTTAAATAGTGCTTAGAAGGGTGCTTTACAGACAAAAGATCACCACCATCCTCCCAGAACAACAGGGGCTTTTCTTAATGAAATCAAGAAAAGTAATGCTGCCATCCACACCCCTTCTCCAAAAATGCAGTGGTCTTTCCCTCCCGCTACCCAGTCACTCACTATTTAGATTGATAACTGATGGGAGCTTTACTTAGCACTGCATAAAAAGCAACAGAACATTATTAAATACCTGGGACAAGAATGTTTCAGAAACTGCCTTAGTCTGCAAACCATGCAAGATATCTTTAGTTTTTTAAATTATTTTAAATCGACAGGTAGAAGTTGGTGCTGTCTGCACAACACAATGCTGTTTAATGGTAATGCTGTTTGTGTGGCTTGTCTACTGTAGTTCCTGGGACTTATGGAGTTAAACAGTGAACAGCGCAGCTAATTACTATGTAATGTTAACCTCAGTTGCTGGTTCATTTTGAGACCCTTAAAATATGAACTGTGTATTTTACCCCTATGCACTCTCTTAATGATTTGTTTTTTTTAGACTGAAATCACTTCCAGCCATCAGTTATATTCGCGGTCTCTACACATGCACTTCTCTGAGCCCAAATATTTCTTTTTCCTATTGGTCTGCCAGCCCCTGTCAGAGCAAATTTCACTTTAAACTAAATGCTATGATACTTAAAACCTCTTGGATTACTCAGGCTGCTAGTGTGATCTATGACCTTCCCAGAATGACAGCTGAACTTTCCAATTTACTTGTACTGCCGGGGAACTGAAGAACACATGCCAAAGAGGAAAATGTTCCTAATGTGCATGAGTGAAGAGAGATTTCTTAACAGCTTTATTTATTGATATTTACTTTGATTCATAACGTCCAAAATAATATTCCTATCCAGAGTCTTAGGTGACTTGGAAACATAATTTAAAATCAAATCAAAATAATAAAACTAGCAGTCTTTCCATTACCCCAAAACAGGAAATGCCCCACAATATCCTCCTAAATATTGACTGTGACTGGACCCTCCTGCACCCACAGCCTGAGAAGAAAAGGTAGGCTTTGTAGTAGGTCTGGAAGACCTGGCTATTCCAGACCATGGGGCAAGGGAGGAAGCCCTGCTGAAAGCTTCAGCTGGGTTTGAGCTCAGGTGCCTCTACCAGTCACAGCTGTATGATAAGGGGGAGTGCAAGGCTCTTTGCGATTAGTCTACACGGGAAAAATTAGCACCTGTACTGCCCAAACAGCCAGCCATGGTGCAAAGCCACTTTCTGTAGATTTCCACAATGCAGTGGTACAGACCTGAGCTCTGTCTACACTAGTGCTTATACCATTACTACTGCTGCAATGACAATTTGCTCCAATACAAGTACTAATTCTTTTAGCATAATCAGTGTCTCAGATAGGCAAGTCCTATCAGATAGGCAAGGCCGTTTGGGACTTTATGGGTCAACATTAAACCTTTGAAGTCCATCTGGAAATCCACAGGTAGCTAACATAGTACAGATCCTCTACTATGGATACGACGTGCTCCCTGCTGGAAATACTACGTAAGAGGCAGTGGGCAGCTGCACGCTGCACAAGCTTTGCTCTCTTAATGGATTTTATATACTGTATGGCCTCATGCAGCACTCGCAACAGGAATCAAACTCTGAGGTGACAAAGGTATGGAGGAATGTGGCAAGGTCAATATCGAAAAGGAAAGGCTATGACCTCCTGCCCCAAAAGCAGGCAACAAGGGGCTTTTATTGAGGAGTCTGAAGATGGGTTTACAAGCCTACGAACCCACATTTGAATTTTTTGGCGTCTGTTCAAAGTGAGAAAACTAAGAAGCGAGGCATCAAAAATTACTGCCCGCTGAAAATGGGAACCCAGGTGAGGGAAATAACAGGATGCCAGCTATCAGACAACTCCTTAGAGCTCTTATTGAACCTTTCTGAGAGCTCTGTGACATATAAAAGTCATAAGGAATTGATCACTCATCTTCCAATGGCTGCAAGAATTACAGTAACAAAAACCTGGAAAAAAAGTGACACCCCTAAAATCACTGACTGGTTTAAAAAAGTTTAGGAAGTTTTAGTAGTGGAAAAGTTGTCCTATCAAGCCAGTGTTCTACAGGGGAGAAAGAAAAAAAGATGTTTACTTAGAAATTTGATGGAAATTCTTGGCATTCGATTTTAAAAAAGAATCTTCCCGTGCCTCCAAATTGAAAGTTTGAAAAATGTTTTTGAATATGGAAGGCAAATGCAAGTTCTATGAGCTAATGATTAAGAACAAATTTGGAGTAAATTCAAAATGTATAAACAGAGACAAGTAGAAGATGAGAAGATTTGTATTATGTAAAGTTCTGAGGAAAGAGAGAGAGCAAATTATTATACACAGATGAAGAAACATAAAAGTCTAACATTGACTGAAACATAAATGAATTGTCAGAGACTGAAAGAAGAGAAGAAAAATAAAACAAAGACTCCTGTGAACACTGACTTGGGTTAAGAAAGCACTGCTGAAGGAAGATAAAGCTCTATTATGTATGTTTTAGGGGATTGGATGCATTTTTCAATGCTAAATTTGTTATAAGTTGGATTAATTAATAAATACTTTTTTTTTTTTTTTAAAGGGAACTTCAATGGTTTGTCCCGGTTCATACAGTGTCGGTCAGAACTGCAGTTGTGTTTCTCAAATATTAGTCCTGCCTTAGAGACCCGACACCCCACCTTTATTTTAGTCCCTAAGCCCCTCCTGCACTCAGGGGCAGGGCACCATTCAATGTGGATAGGTTTTCAGTAATTAATAAATTCTTTTTTTTTTTTTTTAAAGGGAACTTCAATGGTTTGTCCCGGTTCATACAGTGTCGGTCAGAACTGCAGTTGTGTTTCTCAAATATTAGTCCTGCCTTAGAGACCCGACACCCCACCTTTATTTTAGTCCCTAAGCCCCTCCTGCACTCAGGGGCAGGGCACCATTCAATGTGGATAGGTTTTCAAAGGATCTCCATTTATGATGGTATTAAAATATATGCACACTTACAAGGGGCTGTACTTCAACCCAGCGAACAGCTAAGGTGTGTACAGACCTGGATACTCCTGGAGTGGCCTTGCTGACCTCTATGGGACTCGTCACTTGCTTAATGTTACCCAGGCATTTAAGCACTTTGCTGATTGGGCTTTATTTGCATGTCTAAATATGCTGCCTGTGAATACACACATGGGGCTGCTCTCACTATTGGCTTGGCAAATCCCCCATCAATTTCAATGGAATTAGGACTAGGCCTATGGGGTTTTGAGCATGCAGGGTCCTTTGAAACCCTGACCTCTGTACTCCCCATGCAAATACTTCCTCTATGCCAGCTCTTAGCATGCTTTCTCTCTTGCCAGTGTTCTGCATAGCTGTTCTTTTTTAAGACAACAGCTTTAAAGATGCAAGTGTTTCCCC